TACATTACCAAGCAGTCGTTTTATATCATGCCTAGTGAGTACAACCGCAATGCGCGTTTTCTTCTTCTACCTTCATATTCTCTGAGATCAACCGTTGACATTTTTTTCCTTTGGATCCTTATCCACCTGCGCCATAAACCGCTAAGGTAAGGACGTCGTCTTGTGGTTATATTTTCTACCTTAGATGAGGTTAGCCAGAGTGATATACTTGAAGGCAGGCATCCCAAGAAATGTAATTTCAGGGAAAGCCGTCCTTAAGGAAAATTTGGAAAATAAATTCAGTTAGTTTTTGAAACTGGATCTCCAGGTCGTTGTCAGACTCGAGAAAAAGGTTCAAAGAACAATTAAAATTCAAAGTGCTCGTACAGTTACAGAGTCGTTTAGTGTGGGCACTAATTGGTAGCTGCAATTTGCGTCACGCCGTGGTGGAAATAATTAGCAGTCGCAATGGCGTAGTGGCTAATTGGCAACTGTAATTTCAGTCGGTCGGGGCTCAGTCCGGGTCTTCCGGTGTGGGCGCTAACTGCGGTTCATGTTGGCCCATAGTTTCCGGCTGTAGTCGCTTTCACCTTTCTTTGAGATGTGTTTACACTCCAGCCAACCCAATACGCTGGTTGATGCATTAACCATCGGAGTGCATGGCCTCAAGAAATTCTGGGCCTTTTTTGGAGGGACCAACTCCGAAAATGCGTGACATACACCATCAAAAATCTAGACATACCGGTGAAGACGAATTCGAGTTCAGTCCGTGAACTTCTGCGTGTAACACCTTTTATTGTTTGCTAGATTGTACTCTTTCCAAAATTCTGTCGAAGGGCTTACAATGGTTTGCAATAGAAAAACCATATTTTTACTAGCCATTGCGTTGTTGACTTAGGCGGTTTATATTACTTTGGGGATGTTGTATTCGATTAAAGATCTGTACAGATACAGACGCAAAAACATTGAAATCACTTGTAGCATAGCACTACATCTGCCCGTTAAGTGGATGAACCATTGCCCTGGTATTTCGTCAGACGATAACATATTTGCTTTTATCGTTTTGTTACTGAATTCATGTCATTATCCTCCTGGTTTCCGTTCTATTCACTTTTTGTTCTACATTTCTGAACAATTCAGACATTCGAATATTATATTTTGCTA